TGTTGAAAAATTCAATTTACAAATATTCCTCCGTAACACTGCAAAGCAGTCGTGTTTTATACGGTTCAAATCGGTAGTCATTTGCTTCCATCGTATCAGTGATTAAATGCATGGCGATAAGCTCAAAATCGAAAGTTAACATTACGAAAAGTAATCGACAGTATGCGACATAATTCTGGAAGAATTCGCATTTATTTCATGATTACCTCTATAATGAACAATTGAACACCGTCTGGTATGAAGAATACTAGCTCTGCTTCACCTTCATTGATGGACTCCAATTGTTCTCGTAGTTCATGTTTGACCTTAATTGTTGATCAATAAGGAGGATACGGAATATCGTATTATACTTATCCAGTGGCAACATCAACAGCAAGGCTTCAAGTTATTGTTTTTAGGGATGAGGTAGTTTTTAACATTTTTGAAAAAATCTCGAACTGTGAAACAAATCAAGGAAGTTATTGGAACATCTAGTGCAGTTATCTAGCACAGTTCTATTGAGGATCGAAACTGAATGCGCTTAATTTCAAGCGAACAGGGGTGATATGACGTGCCCAGAAGTGGTTTGCTTGTGCAATTGAGACTCAGTTGGTCTTCAATGCGCTCGATGACTAGTCAAGCTGATGCACGGAGAACCAAAAATTTACGTCTTCATCGCCGATGGAAGCTTTGTCCACCATTACCCACTCGTCGGGCTTCTCCTTTTCTGGCTCTGTCAACGATCGTTTCAACTGTGTAGGTGTTTTTTCCTTTTTCAACTTCTTCAAACGTTTCTCGACTCGCTTTCTTGACGTACAAATTTCCTTATACAATGCACTCTTCTTCGCATTTTTGCCCAATTCAGCCTCTTTCACTAGATTCAAGCCACGTTCGTAGATGATGATCGCATTCTCCTGAAAATTCAATGCTTCTCGCTTTTGATGAGGCTCTAGATTCACAGATGCTTGTGTGTATCGATAATATCCATGAGAGCTCTTTGAAACGTTCATTCTCAAACATTTGATTGCAGCAGCCCAAGCCAAAGAAATTCAAGCTGAATGGGTCACATCTCACCACTTCACCTCAAAATCGGACAGCCAAAGGCAGTCAGTTAAATTCGAATCGCTCGGACACCCGAAAATTGCAAATGAACCGCCTGACTGCAACTGCCGATCAGCTGCTCGCAATGAAGGCTCTATTGTACGATTGCCATCATTCTTGTATGAGAAAATGAAAATCGGTTGTTTGAGAAATATTTTAGTGGCAAAAAAATTAGTTTTGTAGGATAAAGACCTAATTTGAAATCTCACATAATCGTTGATTTCATCATAGCATAGACCCTGTTCGAAACATGCGAATGCCTCCGCGAAGAGATCATCAGTGTTTGGTGAGCACGACGTCATCGTCACGATGTTAGTAGTAGTGATTAATCGCACAGTTGTTAATGTTTAATCAACCTATAAAATTCATTTTCTTTGAATTAACACAGAAAATGTTTATGAAAACGAACATATGAAAAGTATCAAGAATATTTTGAACCATTCGACACAGGTATATTTAATGATATTCGAAATCAATAATAATCAAATCACAATCAAACGTGTTGCCGTTGACTACG